GGCCGCGGCGACGGGGGGCGCCACCCCGCCCTTCGGCGGCCCCGATGGCGGCGGCGTCGCGCCCGCCCATCCTGCCGCGCCGCGCAGAGGATTGCCCCACGCGCGCCCGGGGGGCCCCATGAGGCCGGCCGCCCATGGCATTCCCGCCCCGGCCAGCTGTCCCGCGGCGATCGGCCAACGCCATCGCCATCGGGCCGAACGGCGTCGGCCACTCCGCCGGCGGCGGCGACGGCCCCGCCGCCCAGGGCATGGCCAGTGGGACTGGCGCCGCCTGCGGGGCGCCTGCCTTCGGCGCACCCCCCGACGCCTTGCGCGTCGCGCCGTCGAACTCCTCACGGCCGGATTGACGGCCCAGAGGGTGCCGAGACGCTGGAAATAGCAACCCTAACGTCTATACGTTAATTTTAACGTCTTGCGTTAGATCACTTTTAAACGTTAAAAATAACGTCCTTGTGCGATTATCGCACTCAGGCAGGGCATGCGATATTGTCGATCGCAGCTCTGCTTTTCCTCGATGCATATTCGTGTGCGTTGCAAAAAAAAAAAAACTCAGCTGCTCTCCTCCTCCTCGTCGTTATTCTCCCCCTCCTCCTCTTTTTGCTTCCCCTCTCCTCTCCTCTCTCCTTCTTCTCTTTTCCGTGTTCGGCTGGTCCTTCCGACTCGATCTTCGTTCGGGCGGGGGGAGGGCGAGGGGAGCGGCGCGCGCGGGGGGGCGCCCCTGGCGCCGCCGCACCACCGCCCGCCCCGCCCAGCCATTGGAAGAGGGATTTGGGTCCAGGCCGTCTGTTGCTCTAAATCTAGCTCTCGCCATGGCGCCGCGCACATTGGTTGCCGCGGAGTGATGGACGGAGGTGGCATGAGACCTGAAATTACATTCCTGCCTCGACGCCACGCACGACAGTTTTTGTATATAACAATCACGTGGGTCGAGGGGGTGCGTTACTCAATGTGGCATTCTCGCCTCAATGCCGCGAACATTTGCTTTTTCTCCCCAGTTCTAGCGGATTCACATAAGGGCGACTCAAAATGGAGCTCACGCCTTAGCGCAACACGTAATTGGCTTACAACATTGCTGCAGCTCCACGGATGGAGGGCGCGTCCAATAAGCAATTGCCGCCTCAGTGCCGCGCGCATTGGGCCGCTGTGAGAAGGAGTGCGTGCATGGACATAAGCGAGCAAAAGAATGAAAACAAAACAACAAAACGCAACGACACAAAGCCGTGCAGCCGGTTTGGTTCAAGCCTTTCGGCGCAGACCAGATCCGTGTTTCCCAGGATGACTGGGTCGACCCCGAAGGCCAAAATGATGGAGAGTGGCGCAGCCGAGAGCCCGCCCAAACCAGAGCCAGTCCCGAGGACACGTTACGGTGAGGAGATCAACGGCGCTCTGACTGAGGCACTCACACCGCTGGTCGATGACAAAGGCTGGCCCATGTACGGACACGCCCTGGCATCGGAGATGCTGGACCGCGGCAGGGTTGAGAAGTTGGGGGAGGTGCTGAGAGCGATTCGCCAGGTGGCCTGCTGATTTAACGTTTGTCATCTCTTGCTCCTGCCCCCTCGCTTCTCCTCATCTGCCCTGTCGCGTCGTCGGCTGCGCGCCCCCATCCTTGCCCAGGTGGCGCCGAACTTCTCGATCGCCCCGCACGTGGTGGAGGAGGTCATGGCCAACATCGGCACGGCCAAGAAGGACGACATCAAGTTGAGAGAGGTTGAGTCCTGGGCCAAAGGCGCGTCGCTGAGGCTCCGAACTCTCTTGCTTCACGCGGCTGGCCTCGCTCGCAAGGAGAAGCCGCCGAACAGGGCTCCTGCGTGGTGGACCAACCTCATGGCCAACGAGAGCAAGGCCCCAGAGCCGAAGAAGGCAGCGCTGCAGAAGAGCAACGTGAAGGGCGAGACCAAGCCCGATAAGGAGCCCAAGCCCGAGGAGGGATCCAAGCCCGAGGATGCGTTCACGTTCGGATACGACGAGAGCATGAAGCGTGCATGGAGATGCGATGCATTCGCGGATCGATTTCAGCCTGAGGTTTGCGACAGCATGACCGTCAAGCCAGGCGAGACCTACGTCTGGGCGAAGTGGGCAGACGGAATGGAGTACGAGGTGCTGGACTGCTTGGCGTCGACCTTTCTCGAGGATGCTGGACCTGCGCCCTCGAAGACGCCGCGAGGGGGCAACATCTTGTGGACGGGCAACATGGACGGCCTCCAGGTGCAGGTCAAGTTTGTGATGGATAGGGGGATCAAGCTGATTCAGATCAAGCACAACTTGAAGCAGGTCACGCAGATCTCCACGCACGCCGTCGAGGAGGCGGAGGCGGTGGAGTTCATGAAGGACATCGCGAAGCGCTACTGCGATGGGCGCCTCACGGCCCAAGACGCCGAGCAGCTGAAGAGGGAGAAGCTCAAGGAGCTGAAGAAACGCAAGGAGAAGGACGAGAAGGCGGCGGCACTGGCTGCGACCAGCGCAGCTTCGTCCATCGAGACGCAGCCTGCGGAGACGGCGGTGCGGAAGCGCCCAGCTGCCGCCCCCAAAAGAGCTTGCAAGAAAGCCAAACACGAGGAGCCCGACAAGGAAGCAGCCACCGAGGAGAAGGGCGCACCCATGAATGGAGTGGAGAACCTGACGATCGTCGAGAAGAAGCCCGAGGAGAAGCCCCATGAGGGCAAGGAGGAGCCTCAGCCGCTGGAGAACCCCCAGGAAGCAAAGGAGGGGCCACCAGAGGAGACGGGCGAGCCCACGAGCGAGGTCGTCGAACCCATCGACGACGACTCCGCGGACGATAGCCCCGATGATATCCGAGAGATCCCGCCTCCAGTGACTGGCCCGTGGGAGAGTATGACCACCTCGCTGAACACCATGATGGACGAAGTTGTTGAGTGCTCTGATTTCTGGAACAATGCGTTTGACGATGATGATGCGTGAACCGTGCACGGCATGTCGCCACGATGAGTTTGGTCTATGTGCGAGAGGGATTTTCAGATGGCTTGGCGGGGGAGCCGAGCCCACCGATCTCTTGAGCCTTTCTATTTCTGTGTTGTGAACATTTGCGTTCATTCTGGTGCGCACTGCGTCGCTAGTGCTCTCGTCTCAAGTGTGTTATGTTGTTTTCCTCTCGCGCTCAGTTCTTTCAGTTTGCCGAGCTCGGGCAGACAGCGAAGCTGTCCAGCACACTCCAGGTGTGTTTCCAGGGGGCCGATTGAACCTCAAACACTTGAAGCCAAACGTACCACAGCCGAGCGAAACACGAGCATGACGACACACGAGCATGACGAAACACAGCTGAGGAGGGTAGGGAAAAGGATAATCGTTGGAAACAGGATGACAAACAGACGGCGGAGGAAAACACGGATAACGATAATGATGAATCTGAGAAAATCGCTATACCGTCAGCGTCGTCAAGATTGCTCGAGACCCTGCCCCCTCTTGGACGAAATGCCACAGCACGTGCGGCATGCGAGATACCATGGGCATTGGACCATGGAGCGTTGCTTCTATGTTCTCTGGGGCGCAAAGATGGGCGCGAAGGGCCTGAGCCTCTACCCCCAACCCCGCCAGACAAGGGAGAGGAACGGGGGAGGGGAGTTGGGGGAGGTGGCGGTGCAGGAGCGGAGGAGGGAAGGGTCCAGAAGATGGGTGTGGTTGAGACCGAAAGGGTGTAGGTGAGGAGGTTGGTCCGAGGAACGCCCCAAAGGACCCCAAGAACCTGGCGATACGCAGATCGACACAACTCGCGCCCCCCCCCAAAGCGAATGGGGGGTCGGGGAGAGGGGCTCGACTCTTCGAGAAAGAGAGATCACACGTTTCACTCTGCCTCCGTGAGATTGCCACCTGCTGCCGCAAGTGCCGTGGCGCCCAATGGGACATCAAGCTCGTGAAAAAATATGGTTGACGCTTCGCGAATCACTGCCCAAGGGCGCATGCCTCGCAGACCGCAGAAGCGGTGGAGTGACGAGATTTGTGCTTGCCTCAGTTCAATCGGGTATGACGTTTCAGCGAGCACGTGGCAGGGCGCAGCGGCGAATGCTGATGCATGGCAAGCTTTGCTTTTGCAGTGCTGTCAGACGTGGAGTTTCACAGAGCAGCACTGCGGCGCTTGTCCACCTGCCTCACAGCAGAGTCATAAAATCAATGAGTTGGCATTCTCGCCGAGGCCTCTTGGAGCATCTATCTTGGGTGCTTCTGGGGTCTCTTGGGGCCTCTTCGGGGTCTCTTGGGAGCCTCGTGGGGGGCGTCCTGAAGGCCTCTTGGAGCTTCATGGCCACCTTGGGGCCCTCTCGGGGCACCTTTGGGAGCCTTGGGGGCAGTCGTTGGGCCATCTTGGGTGAGATCGATCAGGAGGGGGGGCCATTAATTACAGCCCTCCCCAGGAGGCCAAAATGGGGCCCAAACCATAATACAACCAATGATTGTGGCTTCCTCGCCGAAGTCGTTTTGGGCGCACTCGCGGACCCCCCGTCCAGGTCCAGGGGAGGGGGTAGGGGGGAGGGGTAAGCCCCTCCCCGAAGGGGAAGAAGGAGGGGTGGACTAGGAAACGCTCTAAACCACCGACGCCCAGAGGGCTGATGGGATTCAAGCAGGCATGTTGATACCGACCCCAAAGGACATCCAGCGATTCGGTCCAACAACGCGAAACACGCTCTTGCCCACTAAGGCTTTTTCAGGGTCAGAAACCTGGTAGTGGGCAGGAGCTTTTCGGCTGTTTTTTGAGCGCATTCAAATAGCTTACGCCACCCTGCTGATATCTCAGAAGAAGGTCTTCCCCCCCTCCTCCTTATCATCCTCCTCCTCCTTCTCGTCTGCCCTTATCAACTCCCTCTTGATCTCTTCTTGTCCACCTGCCCGTTCCGAGCACCCTCCGCCCCAACCGTCGCTTGGCCCGCGTGGGTGGTTTACCCAAGAACAAATCGTTGTGCCAGAATACTATGAAAATAACGGGCAGTGGATTGAGTGGGTTCGGTACCTTAGGAACCCGCCACCCCAGCCGCCTCCGCCGCCCCCAC